GATAATGTGCCCCGTCGCACCTTTTGTGAATGGCTGATTGCACACCCTAATGCCAACATTTTGTGGACTGACGAAGCATTGTTTACTCGTGTGGGGCTTTATAACCATCATAACGAACACTGGTGGTCCTTCAGAAATCCGCATATGATTCGGGAAACCCACCATCAAGTGCGCTTTAGTGTCAATGTGTGGGCCGGTGTTATAGGCACGAAAATACTGGGGCCGTACTTCATCGAAGGGCCGCTCACCGGCGGCAACTTCCTCGATATGTTGCGGCATGTCATTGCCGATTTCATGGAGGACTTGCCCGTGGCCTACTTCCGGGATTTTTATTTTCAACTGGACGGTGCACCACCCCATTACGCCGCCGCCGTCCGAGATCATCTCACCATAGAATATGGTGATCGATGGATTGGACGCGGAGGCCCCATCGTGTGGCCTGCTCGATCGCCGGACCTAACACCGTGCGACTTTTATTTGTGGGGTGAAATCAAAAGACGTGTGTATTTTGAAGAAGCACAAAGCCTCGAGGACTTAAAAGTGCAAATTAGTGCGGCATTTGACCACGTGAAAAATGACACTGTAGTGCTCGCCAAATTAAAAGACAATGTGCAAAAACGTGCAAGACTCTGTGTGGAGAGGAACGGTATGCACTTTGAACAATTATTAAAGTATACGTAGGTAAATAGTTAAATTAGGTAGGATAAAGTGATTAGTTGATTATGTACATAAAGTTGATGATTTTTTAAATACGCCTGATTGCAAAGAATATCTAGTTAAGTACCTACTTTTTTTATTATTGGTTTAACTAAACAGAATTTTAGGTAACTTGATATTTGCTTACCTACTTATTTATAAATTTAAAGCAGTATAGTTATTGTAATAGTAGGTATCTAATAGAATTTTTGCAATTTGACGGTCCTAAGCCCGTAAAAGTATGAAGGAAAGGTTTCAACTTTATGTACCATTTGCCCTAGCATGAAAAAACGAAAACATTTTAGGTAGCTGCTACTAACTCGCAAACGTACTTGTATTACTATCAATGAATTGCGGGAAGGGAGGGGGGGGGGGGAACTAACGTAGCGCGTAAAGCGCACGTACTGGGCAGCGGGAGCGTCCACAAATGTATGTTTTTTGAAAATAACTTGGTGACGATATAACTCAACATTTTTGTTCTAAACGACATAAAAAGAAAAAACACGTATTTCATTATTTGTCGTAAAGATTAACATACTAAAATTTGGAGAGTGGTTTTAAATGCTTCTTGTATAGAGAAGAGAAGAGGAGATAAGACGCCACCCTGAGGAACACCAGCTTTGATATCGCACCACGTAGAGATGGACTCGTCAATGTGGATCCTCTGCCGGCGTCCTAGCAGGTAACTTCGAAACCAGGCAATTGCAGCTGGAGATATGTTGAGAGAAGTCATAACACCGAGAAGGATGTCAAAATCAACCGTATTGAAGGCATTGCTAAAATCTAACAACGTCAACAACGTAAGCTGACGATTTTCCATCCCTCGTCGAATATCATCAGTAATCTTTACCAATGCAGTAGTAGTGCTATGGCCAGTACGAAAGCCGGATTGAAATGGATTAAGAAGGTGGTTTGAATTAAGAAAAGCCAGTAACTGACGGTTTACAAGTTTTTCAAGGACTTTGGAGAGAAATGGAAGAATGGAAATGGGACGGTATTCAGAAAACGATGATGGGTTTGCCTTTTTTGGGAGAGGAATTAGATTTGCATCTTTCCAAGATGAAGGAAAAACTCCAGATGAGATTGAAGTATTCAGAATCTTAGTTATTATCGGGGACAGGATATGAATTAGAGGTAGGATCATTTTGCGACTAATGGAATCACTACCCACTGCACTGGAATTGATCGACAAGATAGTTCTCTCGACATCACAGTCCGCAAATTGGCGAAGGAAAAATGGAGAATCAAGAGTTGGTAGACTTGAAAGATGATGTAATGTTTCAGCCTTACGATTGCAGTCAATAGGGGCAGAAGTAGAGAAGTAGCTATTAAGTTTGTTAATGTCGAGGTTGGTATCGGACATTTTATTATGAGATTTTCCAACTCCAAGAGATTTTAGGAATTTCCACACTTTCCTAGAATCTTGATTATTCACGGATTCATGAATATAGCGTCTTTGGGCGTCCCTTATCACAGTATTGCACCGATTTCTAGCGCGATTGTATTTAAGCTCATTTTCATTTGAAGAGTCAGCCCTGAATTTCGCCTTAGCCCTATTCCTCCTTCGCATCAATCCTTTTATTTCTTCCGTTAACCAAGGAGCCGGCAAACATTTGATTTTAATAGGCCGTACTGGAGCATGTATATCGTAAAGATCTGTCAGGTACTTATTAAACAGTTCGACTTGTTCATCCACTGAATTTGTGGCGTAAATTGCAGTCCAGTCTATCTTAGCAGCATCTTCACGCAGAAGATCCTCATCAATGCCTGTAAAACCACGCTGAAGTTGAACCGTCGGCCTCAATTTAGGAGAACGAATTTTGTATGATAAATAAACTAAATCGTGGTAGGAAAAAGCATCAGCAGAATATTGACCGTGCTTAATAGCGAAAGAAGGAGAAGAGACTATTATAAGGTCAAGTAGAGAAGGAGTACAGTTGGGAAAATGGTGAGTTTCCTTTAACGGAAGAATGTGTAAATTTAACGAGTTAACTAAGGATAGTAACTTTTTGGAGCGGAAGTCATTTTTACTTAAACAGGTATTAAAATCACCCATTATTATAGTATGGGTGTAAGAAGGACTAAAATTTTCAAGGAGATGTTCAAATGAATCGAAGTAATCAACTCGTAGAGAGGGGCTATAGAATACACATAAGAGAACCTTGGTATGATATAAATCATTTGTAATAACCTAGATTTTTTTTTATCAATGATCTAATATTGATATGTATACACAATCAATGAATTTTATAAATTTACAAATAGTTTAAAACAGTTATAATATCCATCCGCTCTAGATGCATCCATATTTATATCATACAAACATAAAGTAATATTTTTACAAAATAAAGGAACATATTAGTTGTTTTTCTTGGTGATTTTTGATATATCTTGCATTATCCGAAGTGTATCTAGATTTAAGATTATTCCTGGCGTTCAAAAACATGTCTCCATGTAGGGAAAGAGTGCTTCTCGAATAAAGATTTTCATTCCTGCTTGCTCATTAGGCATGTTCGTACTTATTACACCTAGGGTTAGCTTTAATTTTTTTTCCTACCTCTAACCACTGATCATGGACATCCTTCTATTTCAGATCCACCATGATGCTACCAGTTTATTCTCGACAGGAAGGAAGTCAGTGCGAATATACTAGCGAACTGACGTCAAGATTAAACTTTTAGCGATTTCTTGAATAATAATTAATTCATTTATTTTGATGTCAGAAGTAATACCAGAAATTGAATATGATAGTACTCGCTGTTCCATTTCTCGAATTTCTTGCTCAATCGCTGCAATTTGACTTTCAAATTTACTTTAGTGAATTGGTATAATTCCTCTTAGACAAGGATAGCCTCGTGGAAATTGATACCCTAGCAATTGAAATTGATACGCAAAAGGTGGTCTACCTTTTGCGTCTATGTTACTTGTAATATGTGTTTTTATGTCAAAGTATACATTTATTTATTGAAAGCTTGGAAATGAGTTTTAATACCTTTCACCTTTTTCATCATCTTTTTAGGGTTCTGCTTACCAAAAAACACAATCATATAATACATACATGATGACAGCTACTAAAGTAACGGTGAAAGTTTAATTATTTACAATACTATTTGTACGGTGTATCAACAATGGAACATCGAAAGCAATATCTTAAATATAGGTGTTTTTGTTTTTAAAATCCAAAACAACAATTATTATAAATATATTTGCTGAATGCTGCCGATGCGAATATTAGGTGGCACTTTTGTTTAAAGAGAATACCTTTACTTCAAATTATCTTTGCTATCCTGTAAAAGTAAACAACCCTGCCGTGTAAGTGGTTTAACTGAATAAAACCAATGTTAAAAGGAAATAAGGTTATATTTGATTGAACCTCCAATAGTGTGACAGTGTTGTGTCCGGCGCTTTTTTTTATTTCTGCAGAATGTCAAATACTTTACCCACTTTTTAGCAGCATATATTAGAATTTTTATGTGTATCGAAAAATAGCAAAAACATGTTACATTTTCACCAAACAAAATCAAAACCCAAAATAGTTTGGGCATATCAAATAAAAAGACGAATTTATTTGTTGTTCTTATAGTTTTCAAATTATTATTTGAGAAAGTAGAACAAAATTTAATATTCCCCACCCTGATCTTCGAAACTACTCGATCTTAAGTTTTGAAAAAATACAATAATAGACCTATATCTATAGTTTACTGGAAAAGCTACAGGATGACGCATTCTCGCATTTCAAGAATTCTGGTGCAGACAATATACTGATTCCTGAGCAATATCTTTGCTTATATCTTTTTACGTCCCCATCGCAAGGGCTAAGGCCTTTGCCATGGTTGATATAATCCTGTACGCTCTGGCCCAATACGATTTCGATGGTATTACGACTGCAAATGTAGCCTTGACCAATGTTTTAATGTGCCTTTGGAAGCACAGAGTAGCTCGATATAATATAATTTTTTTAAGTCACCCATCCCGCGACCAAGCTTTGCAAAAGTTGCTCAGTAACAACGATCGCGGCCCGGGGTGCTTAACCACTACGTCACCGAACTATTCATACCTTAAATATAAAAGTATTCATGAATTTATTTAAAAATATTCCTCCAACTTTAACCTTCTTCCTATAAAAATTTAAGAATTACCCAGAGCTATATCATATCATTAACGAAATAATTTTTTATGGCTAGGTCTGAATAGGTACCTAATATATTTTATTTTCCGTAAAAATAATGTATAAGTCAATAAATATATGACATTATAACAATAATATATTTCAAACTATAACTAATATAACATGTTTTCTTTATTTAGAGAGGATAACTCGAGCAGCCACAGTTGCCAGCGATGGATACGACGCCACTGGCGGGTATCTGGCCGGAGAAACCAACAGCACCGAGCACAGGAATCTGGCCACCGATCACGGCTTGACCGCCGACACCAAAGTCACCTCCGACCACGAGCTCAGCATTGCCACTAGCGGTGAACGGGCCGGTGACGGGCACCTGGGACGTAGCAGCCACGTTTTGTACGCCGAGACCAGCGCCATATCCAAGACCGGCTACTCCTAAGCCAGTGTTCAATCCACTTACAGCCAAACCGGCGTTACCAAGACCAAAGCCAATGTTACCAATACCAAGACCGTTTAAGCCAATGTTGTTTGCTTCGGATACAGTTAATCCGGCATTGCCAAAGCCAAGCCCAAGGTTGTTAGCGCCAAGACTACCGAGGCTAAGTCCGTTTACGACTCCACCATTTCCCAAATAATTTGACAAGACCTGACTGTAGACATTCTGCAATATAAAAGAAAATAATACATAAATAGATTATATTTAATGGCATTCACTAAATTTATTGTTGAAATAGTTTTACATCATAAATATTGCAATCATAAATAATAAAATTAAAAAGAAAAAGATCTCAATTTAAATCCAGCAGTCAACTTAAATAATCGTATCTTATATCTTACTTGCTACTTGGCAATATAAATGCTACTTGGCAATATTAAAGAATAACAATAAAAATAAATTGAAATGGAACCCGCGATCATAGTTGCTAAGCAAATTTCGCAAGGGTCACAAGATCGATGACCAAAAAAAATGATAATACCAAATTACTCTGTGCTTTGGAAGGCATATAAGCCGTTGGTCCTGGTTCAATCATTAATACCCTCAAAACAGCATTTGGCCAACGTGGAGGGTTATGGGTCATCCTCCTTAATCATACAAAAGGAAGGCCTGAGCAGTCAAAACGTAAAAAGGGCTGATGATGTTGATGATGGCATTAAAACTTACATGGATAAGCAAAGCTTGAAGGCAGATGAAAAGAACTGATAGTAAAGACATGTTTGTTATTCCAACGGCTGTTAGATCTATGAATATGACTTTAGAAAAAACGACGGCTCTTTTATACGTTTGTACATTGTACTAATGTAAATTATCTTGAAATCTTTATCAGTTCAATAATAAAATATGCTTTTCAAAATAATTTTAGTAATACATACATGAACCTTTATATCGTCATATTTTCGCCATGATTTATTATCTTCATAACCACAATTCGATCTTTTGAAATAAGGAATTGCAGTAACTTTTTAATCATGATATACAATGAAACCATGTTACAGGGTTATAGAACAAAATAGATAACGCACATGTATTATAATATATAAACATCTACAAATACAACGAATAACCATAGTATCGAACGTTGTTGAGAAAACCAAAATGTCAGCTCAAAAAGTTCTTATCATCGCTTCGGCACTTCTCATCCAGGTAAACACTACTACGTTTACTACCGCCTGTAATTCTAATAATAATCTTGTCGATTTTCAGTGGGATTATTATTCGATTGTTATTCGACTTTTCTTGTGAAAAAAGTAGCTAATCTTACGTCTTAGGGGCAAATGTTGCTTCAGCTCATACTGAGCAGAGGCCTGTATTATATAACTCATTACTCGATTTTTGCTATGTAATATTATGTTATTTTGCATTTTATGCCAAATAAACGCTGGCGCCGAAAATCACCTGAAATAAATTACTAGCAAAATTCGTTGGTAAAATAAAACGTCTAGCTTGATGACTTTAGAATGACATATAATAATTTGTTTCATGAAAGAATACAATGAAGAGTAAAAAAGGTATTTAACCTCCTTTGTCGGCAACAAACGCATTCTTTTCCATTCTATTCTAAACGACTAAGTCTGTCCCTCAAAGGCTGAACAGTCGCAATAGTTTCTACAAATGCACCGAGCCTATCAACTCCGAGGCCTCTTTAGCTAGGCGTGAGCTGTTGTTGGGTTTCGCTTTTTTATCTTCCCCGTTTATGCCAATTTAGGAGAAACTCCCGCCTGGCCACGAACTCTCCAGACCCGTGTGGAAATCTTTAAATAGACTCCGCACTCAGGTCGGCCGGAGTAAAGACAATCGGTCCAGGTGGGGTTTTACTAATACTGCAGACCTTGCGTGCAGGTGTGGTAATACTCCTCAGACCACTACACACCTGATATGTTACTCCGCTTGCCCCTACACCTGTACGCAGGAGGATCTCATGACGGCTGCAGATAGCGCCGTAAAAGTGGCGGAGTTCTAGGCCGGTGACATTTAGTTTTGGTTGCCATTGACACGAAAGAAGAAGATCCATCACTACAAAAACTGATATATAAACAATATAATAACCAAATTACAATTTATTCTTTTTATTACAAAAAAAAATATTTTTTTATTTACAGAACATCTGCAGTCTGCCCCTAAGTTTAGGTAATTTGGGTTACACAGGTGTTGATCTCGATCTTCAAGCTACCAGTACTGCGGCTGGTGGTCTCAGTGGATACTTGGGTAATGGTGGACTAATTAACAGCGGAGTAACCAATGTCGGTGTTAACAGCTTTGGCTTTGGTAATGGAGTGATTGGTGCAGGTCTTGGGAGCGATATCGCTGTGATTGGTGGTACCAACGCTGGTCTCATCGGTACTGGATTAAATGGCGTTGCATTCAATGTTGGCGGCTTTAATGTCGGTTCAAGCGGTCCTTTGGTAGTCACCTCCATCTCTCCCATCGGCCCCAGTGGCCTCGCTGTAGCATCAGAGAACGTGATCGAAGGCACATTGTTGGTGAGCGGATCTCTGCCGTTCCTGAGCGCGGTGGCATTCGAGGGTGGTCTTCCGACCGCCGGCAACGGCGTTGCCACTTGTGGCTGCGGTAACGGCGCCGTCGGAATCATCAATGCCTAGTACTTTAATTATATTTCTAAGTTAAAACGTGAATAAATGCTTTCGAAGTTTGAATTCATTCTTCTTTAATTGATTTCCTTATGAAATATACGATATATATTATTAATGCTGTCTTTGAATATGAAAACAGTTATAAATGTCGAGGAGGCGAAACCGTGTAAAGATGAAGGTTTGCACTTTAGTATGTTTATTCATTCAAAACAGATAATTCAAATATTTGAACCTTATTACGTGTACTAATTTTAGCGCGTACAGGTGTAAAATAATTGAATAAATTTAGCAATTTTGTAAATCAATTAGCTGTCCATGGGCAAGTTAAACTTACGTATTGAAGAACATAAAGATTTGCTTGTTTGATTGTTTGTGTGCGTTGAGTTCTGAAACTACTGAACCGATTTTAAAAATTCTTTCACCTATGGGAAGCAACTTCATACGCTGACATAGGTAATAATTTACTAGGGCTAAAACAGCTACTAAATAAAATAAATAATTAATCCCAAAAATATTAACTACTGAAATGGCACTCTTCAACTTAGGAATAATTATATTATTCCTTCTAAAACATATGCAAATGCAACTGATAGAACACTAGTAACCACTTTTATTTTTCTAACTGCAATGAAATTTTAGAAATTTGATTTTTGGTTAGCGTTCGGCGTTCGGAAGAAGTACAAACAAATATATCATATGTGACTAATGTTGTAAACCTTAAACCGGTTGTGGGCATATTGTCTCACCGTAACGTCACCGTCACCTAACGGACGAAGCGGAGGAGACGGGTGACCATATTGCGTCTTGAGTCGTCGCAGCACAAAAATGATATTTTTCATACATATTTTTTTATAATTGTCAAACACCCAACATACGAATAAACAATTTACAAGTGTAAGCGGGCTTATTTAATTTCAAGACATTGAGGAACGGCGTGATCGCCAGTCAAAATTGAGCTCTTAAATAAAAATACATATATTATAAATATGAAAATATGGGTTCTTTAGGCACATTATAATTTGTTTAAATAAAAATGTTTTTCGCCATTTTTTTATATTTGTTTGGCTATTTAGTTTATAAATGTCAACGGCAAATTATATACAATTTTTTCAATATATTAAACGTAAACACTTAAAAAAGGGGATAATACCAATGAAAATATGAAATGAATGCGATAAATGTTTATTGCGCAGCTTTAAAACAATTGACAGCTTACAACGGAGTTGTCGAGCAGCAACCAGATTTTCAGTTTGCCAGTTGGTACGATTTGTCCTTTATATAGGCACAGCAGAGCAGCCACAGTTACCAGCGATAGAGACGAGGCCACTGGCCGGTATTTTACCTGTTAAACTAACACCGCCGATTACTGGGATCTGTCCACCAACTACAGCGTTGCCACCAACGTTCATTTTGCCTCCAACAATGAGCTCACCCTGACCGGTAGCCGTAAATGGGCCGGTGACAGGTACAAATGAAGTAGCCGCCACATTAGGTACTCCTACCGCCACATTGGGTACTCCTACCGCCACATTAGGTACTCCTACTGTCACTGGCCCAACACCGGCGAGTCCGATGCCAGCATTACTGAGACCATTGAGACCGAAACCGGCGGTACCGATGTTCAGAGTATCGAGTTCAATTCCAATGTTGCTAGAGCCATACCCAATGCCAATTGGCGCTACACCGATAGGAGCCACCCCGTACCCGAGACCGGCACCAGCACCAGCACTGGCAAACGCGTCAATATCGATTCCACCGTATCCAATGCCATAAGGAACACCGCCGTAACCTAAACCAGCCCCGGCAAAGTTATTTATGTCAACATCGATTCCGGCGCTGCTACCACTGTTTCCGAAACCAAGTGGATAACCACCATAGCCGTAACCAGCGTTGGCAAAGCTAGCAGCACTGATGTCAATATCGCTTCCACTGTATCCAAAGCTCCCCGGAAAACCACCATAACCATAACCAGCACCGGCGAAATTATTTAAGTCGACATCAATTGCAGCGCCGCTACCACTGTATCCGTAACCAAGCGGATAACCACCATAGCCGTAACCAGCGTTGGCAAAGCTAGCAGCATTGATGTCAATATCACTTCCACTGTATCCAAAGTTCCCAGGAAAACCACCATAACCATAACCAGCACCAGCGAAGTTATTCAAGTCTACATCAATTGCAGCGCCGCTACCACTATATCCGTAACCAAGTGGATAACCGCCATAGCCGTAACCAGCGTTGGCAAAGCTACCAGCGTTGATATCGATGTCGCTGCCACTGTATCCGAAGCTACCAGGAAAACCACCGTAGCCATAACCAGCGCCAGCGCCGGCAAAGGTGTTAGCATCAATATCAACGAAGGCACCACTATTGGCGTAGTTGTTATAGCCTAAAGGTGGAGCATAACTAAGAGCATTTGGGAACTGTCCAAATACGTTCTGTAAAGAAAGAAAAAAATTTTTATAAATAGGAAGTAGCAGACGCTATGCTACACATATTGTTTTCCAATAAAATTATAATTGTTTATTAAAATTGTTGTATAGTTACCCGGATTAGGCAAGCTTGGATGCACAATAAGAGGAAGGCGAAGGTAGACATGATGCTGCTTCAGTTGTAACAGAACGGCCAATATCTCTCAGTAATTAAGATGTCGTTTATATATTGCTGTACCTATTCAGATAAACAGTAAGTTTTGTAACCCATAACACGTGTTGTGTGCATTATTCTGTTATCATACGGTTTCCTCATTCAAAACTCAATTAATCTTCTTTGTGTTTTAGTATAAAAGCAATATTTGGGTCAACATAAAATATCTATGATTGGATATTAAACAAAATGACCGCTGAAATTGTCTTCCTTTGTGCCTTCGCCCTGTTTGCGCAGGTAAAGCTATAAAACGTGATTGATAAAAAGTATTGGGCTTAGTAATCTATTAAATATATTTGCTTTTGAAAGAAACGCTGAAATTGGAATACAATATAACCTAAATAGATCTAATAACTACTCTCATGGGCAGTTTTGTTGATAAACGTATTTGTTTTAAAATTTTCAAGACAACCTTTCTTTGCTTTTCAAATCTTATTTGTTTGTTTTTTATATTTTATTAGTATATAAAAGTATATACTATTTTTTATTATATTTTGATTAATTTTGCATCCACAATGCCATACTGAAAATTATTCTTAATACAAAATACTTAAAAAATCCACTTGGTCCTTGGCACCCTGAGATGGGAATCGAACCCACGACCTTTTGCAATCCGGGCGACTGTTCGGAACCCTTTTTAAGCATTTTGTATTAAGAATATACTTTCTTTCTGTTTCAGACTGTTTTGGCTCAATCTTTGGTCTCCAACAATTCCGTGTTGAACGGTTTTGGCAACGCAGGTTTTGGCAGTGTTGATTTGGTTGAAGCAGGTCTAAGCAATGCTGGGGTGCGATGTCTGGCTACCTCCACGTGGTGCACCCCGGGCAACGTGGCCGCTCAAAGCATCTTTGAGCCGCCACGGCTAAAGTCAGAATAGCGAGGGTGACGGAGTAGAATACTCCGTCCACGCGCGGATACGCGCGAGTGTGGGCTGAGGACGACGGAGATAAACTCCGTCTACGCGCGGATACGCGCGAGTGAGGGCTCCGGGTCGGCGCCCCGACGGTAAGACGGGTAGCGGTGGCGCGGTTCGGGCTGGACGGGCGCCCTGCGTATCGCGGGAAGCGGCCGTGCCAGCGGGAGCGGTGGGCTCGTCGACTCATGGTGGGTGGGAGCGACGAGTGTTTGTTTGTGAGGGCGACGGAGATAAACTCCGTCCACGTGCGGATACGCGCGAGTGTAGGCTCGGTCGAGAGGAAGTGTAGGGGGGAGGTAAGACCCAATTTCGGGTCACGAGTTGGGTGTTTCCCTTATTGGGAGTTTTGAGTGGACTGGCTCCGGGCCGGCGCCTCGGCGGTAAGTCGTGACGCGGCGGCCCGGTTCTAGCTAGAGGAGCATAGGGGGGCGGTAAGACCCAGTTTCGGGTCACGTTCCGGGGGTGTTCCCTGTGAAGGGAGTTTTGAGACGATGCAGGAGGGCAGACTGCTGAATGAATGGCGGAGTATCGCGGAAGGATGCGCTGTGCAGTTTGTGCGGATGCGTCACTTCCTGCGAAGCACATATGGGGAATGGGGAGCAAGAGGTGCTCTCCACCACCCAAGAGAGTGAGGCCGTGGCTAGTTCCCGTGCCTCATATTTGTTAATAAAACCTCCTTTTGAATCACAGTCTTTTATTTCCAATATCAATTGCACATTCGCTATTTTTATAAATTATATTTTTGACGCAATGATGTTCGTCATCCGAGGGCCATCGACATAATCACCGTCCGTTTTTACTTTATTATTATATTCCCTCCTACCGTCACCTTTTTTTTCTTTTTTCTTTTTTTTAAATATTAAATGCCAACCGATAGTTTGTCATAATGCCAAGATTTAAAAAAATATGAGATAGCTAACAGACGGCCATTCTGCCTTAGGAATGTCCCTATTCCTAAAACCGCTTCGGCCATTCGACAATTTGTGTGGCCTCATACAAATGAAATCACAATAAGTTATAAATAATAAACAATCATAAGAACAAAAGAAAAAAGAATAATGCTGTGTAAGTCAATTACATAAATTGATGAATTATTTAGAGCAACAATGATTTAAAATTCTCAAATAACGAGTTAAAAATACTATAAAATTAATTACTTCATAAGCAAAAAAAAAAAAAAAAAACATTAACATTTGTAAATAGGTATCTATATAAATATAATCAATAATTAATTTAACGCTGAGTACACTGCACTAACTTAAAGATTACAATCTTCATCTTGATCTCAAGTCGCAGTCAATAACTTATCATCATGAAGCCGAAAATACAATAGGTGCCACTTGTTGGCTAATTTACGTTGAGTTTTCAAATTTAAACATAAATAAGGTCACATCGAGCTACCGTTTGCCTTCTTTAGGACACGGCCTGCTTTGTTTGCCGTCATTGATTTCCAACTTCTGGTGTCAATCGGAGCTACCGTTTGCCTCATTAGAACACGGCCTGCTGCTATGGAAATACTTCTTTAAATGGTAGCTTAATATCCAAAAGCTACCGTTTGCCACTTTTGGACACGGCCTGCTATTCGTATTAGAAGGTGATAAACAACATAATGTCCAAAAGCTACCGTTTGCCACTTTTGGTCACGGCCTGCTGGTCGTATTAAATAATGGTTAACAAATAATCAAAAGCTACCGTTTGCCTCTCTTGAACACGGCCTGCTTTCAAGATTCACCCGGTAGTAACTTTTACTCCGGTCTGCACATCTAAGCTGAAAAGGTAAGGAAAAGGACATTAGGTAAAGGTGTGTGTATCTACTTACTCATGCATCGCTACTCTTACTACCATCATCAATATCACTTTCATCTCTGTCGCTAACTGGTGGGGATAACTGGAAGGTTATCCATCTTTTCAGCTGATCAGCTGGATATATATTCTTGTACTTCTTTTTTGAGTGCCCATCGATACTTCTAACTTCATACCTATCATTATCAAGCACAGCAGTAACTCGCAGCGGTCCGCGGAATTTAACAGCTAATTTCTTACTTTTACCCTTTTCTGGGTTATGATTTGGGACCATCACCAAATCACCTTCTTTAAATATTTTCGTCGGGGCTCTAGATTTATCATACGTTTGTTTCATCCTCTTCTGATTCTTTGCGATAGTGTCTATTACCTCATTTCTAATCTCTTCCCTATCATTTCCTTCATCAATATCTAAAGACCCCCTGATTAAGCTTTCGGTTTCACCTGTAGTTCTTTGACCGAAAACTACTTCTGCTGGAGTCTTGCCTATCCCTTTATTAATTGTGTTGTTTAAACTTCATTGTAATTTGTCTAAATTTAAATCCCAGTCTTTTTCGTCTAGATCATGATTCATCGTAGCAAGAGAATTGAGTATTGTCCTGTTGTATCGCTCAATCTGGCCATTGGCACGAGGCGTTGCAACTGCATTTAATACGTGCTTAACGCCTAAAGATTCGATGAATGCTTTGAACTCATTAGACGTAAAGCTAGTAACCTGATCTGAAATAATGACTTTAGGACAACCAAATATTGCAAATATTTCTTTAAGAGTTTTAATTGTTGTTTTAGATTTAAGATTTTTAACCGCCTTTATAAATATATATTTACTAAATCCGTCTATTACTCCTAAGATGTGAGTATTACCACGTTTACTTTTTATAAATGGACCCAAGTGATCCATATGTATAGTATGAAAGATAGACGACGGTTTCGGTATAGGATGTAAGAAACCTGATTTCTTACCAGCCTTGTCCTTATTATATGCACAATTAATACAAGCCGCAACGTATTTCTTAATAAAGCGTCTCATCTTGGGAAACCAGTAATCAGAAGATATTTTCTCTAATGTTTTCTCAAATGAAAAGTGACCCACTTCATCATGATTAAGTTGGCATATGCGCCAACGAGCACCACTTTTTTTTTTTTTTTTTTTTTTTTCTTTTTTTTTTTTTTTTTTTTTGTGACGGAAGGAAATGCATGAAATTGCATACCCGCTTCCCACAGCGCGTGGTCCACGGGTGATGTGGGGCTCTCCCCGGCAGACGGCCAGGGCCTACCCACTAAAACCTGCCGATGTCCCTCACAAAGAAGGCGGCCGTGGGGTCGGCACGAAGCCATTCACCACAGTACCGCCCTCAAAGAACCCGCCCAGACGGGGCAGGTTCCCTCTCGGGTTAGGGGGGGAGGCTCAGGAACATTCGAGTCTCACCCCCCCAGACAGGACAAGGAGCGTGCAATGCCCGGCGGCGCGCAAACCACCAGGCTGCCCCTCGTCAAGGACAGGAGACACGCGACTGTGTCCCTCCTGCCCTAACGACTGTCTCGTGGGGACACATATGGGTTGCCCCATATGTGCCCCTCTCCCCGATAGCCCCGGTGACCTTCCCTCCTCCCCGGTACACCGTTCCTTAGTCGCGACTCTGGCCGCGGCCCCGCCGGAGCCCGATCACCCCACACACCGAACGGTGTGTGTTGCAGTCGGACACCGACGACCCCGCGGCCAGAGTGCGAGATGGAAAGCTCCCTCCCCCACATACGTAGGTTGAACTCCCTGGTTCCCCTCACTACCAGCCATCCCGCTCCACATCGGCAAGCCAGAGGGTTAAGGTAGGCTGGTAATCTTCGCGGATTCTGAACCTCGCATATGGTCGTACATAAATGCACGGCCGCCATGGGAGGTCCGTCCTCCGGTCCGCACGGGGAAACGCAGGGTACGGAAGCCTGGCTGCCCACCAGGAAACAAGAAGCCCGCGGCCCCCCTGCCCGCCCCCAACCGGCGGCGCATCCGGGACCCTCTCTAAGGAGAGGGATGGAAGCGACGCCGGCAGGGGCGGGCAGGTAAGTGTAAAGTAAAGTGTCTGTGTATTGTGTAGTTGTAGATAGTGTTAAGTGCGTGAGTGACGGTGTATGTGTGTTACTGCTAGTGTGTGAGTGTGTGCGAGTGTGTCCGTAAGTGTGGTGTGTGTGTGTGATGAGTGAACCGATGACCGCCCCTCCGGAGCCATGCCACCCC